TCGCTGTCGGAATCGGCCACGGGCTTCTTGGGAGCAGCCTTGGGAGACGCTTTCACCGGCTTGCGCACGGGCTCGTCGTCGCTGTCGGAATCGGCCACGGGCTTCTTGGGAGCAGCCTTGGGAGACGCTTTCACCGGCTTGCGCACGGGCTCGTCGTCGCTGTCGGAATCGGCCACGGGCTTCTTGGGAGCAGCCTTGGGAGACGCTTTCACCGGCTTGCGCACGGGCTCGTCGTCGCTGTCGGAATCGGCCACGGGCTTCTTGGGAGCAGCCTTAGGAGACGCTTTCACCGGCTTGCGCACGGGCTCGTCGTCGCTGTCAGATTCCTCATTGATGTTGTTTTTGGCGGCAATAAGTGCCGAGAACTTGAGATTGCGAGCTGCGGGCACAACGGCTGAATTGGCCGCCTTCATTGCCTCTGCTGCGTCTGTGTAGTTCGCCTCCTGAAGGTAACGGTAAATCTGAGCATCAAGCTCGTTCTTCGGAAGTCGGATCACAGACATAATCTTATTACTTGCCATCAGCGCAGTGCGGAGCCAAAAAGATAAGGTGGAAAAAGAAAAAAATTAATAAAACAGATAAGATGAAAAAAAAAAGAGAAATACGCGCCTCGAGGAGGCCCCTTGTTCCCTCCTATTCCTCCAAGGCAAAAGAATGCAACAAGGGCAGATATATATTTGGGTCGATGAATACCCAATTTCCCCCACTGAAGCGGAAATTTGCCGCACGCTCACACGCCAACAGACAAATGAATCCAAACGCTGCTTTGTGCGCGTTGGAAACTCAGGGAGCGCTTGCCTCTGGTGTCCTGGCAACCGCCGCACCCCTCCGTGCGAGGAGCGCTACTAGTAAAGTTTCCATGTATGGGAACACACACAGAATAAAAAAATCACACAAAATAAACGCGCAAAATAAACCAAAAACCTGTCGCTTGTGCCGCCTCAAACGCAGAATTGTTGTAAGCAGAAATGAAGCAATAAATAAAGAAATGAGGGGGGTTCAAACACGACGCGCTAGCATATACTTGGCCCCAGCGCGCCGCAACTTCCTTTCAGAAACTGTAAAATATGCTAAGGAGAAAAGCAACAACGCACTGACCAGACCTTCGTTTTTTTTTGTTTCCGAAACTCCAAATGCAGCCAAAGCGCACTTGATAAACACATCAATTGCTGTGGCGAAGTTGAAAAACACTTCTTGCAGTAGAAGAGTACCCGGGCTTTATTCTCTCCCAGCGTAGCAACTTGCACCCAATGAGGGAGATGTGCATCAAGGAGCAAAAACAAGAGTGGGGGGGGGGGGACGGAGGCCAGAAAGCCTCGTACGAAAAACAACAGCAAGAAATGATAACAGTAAATATAGCACAAAACAATACTGTTCCCACTTACGCATCTCTTTCACTCTCTCTCTCGCACACACACACACACACACTCACACTGACCCTTTCACGCAGGAAAACAATACTGATCATATTTCTCTCTTTTACTAAAAAGGCGTACTTTCTTTTTGTATATCCTGCTTTTTCTTTTCTACATTTCGCACCAAGCTAAAAAAAAAAAAGTGCCGTATTCGTAGCTTCGGATTACATATACCTAGATAAATGTTTATTTTCTCTTTGCAGTTGTTGCCACTTTTATAAAAAAAGGGGGGAAGAAGGAGGAATGAGCATTTCCCATTCGTTTCCAGACGTGCCTTATCCGGCTTCCCCTGCCACGCATCGATGCACCCAGTCATATCACCACAGCGGATGTTGCCGCTTCCATTTCCACACTGAAAATGCGATTGCCATTCTCATTCTCATTTCCAACTGCAGTGGGGGGGCCCTCTGCGGCGGGAGTCACCACCCTGGGGAGTAAATGCAGTATCACAAGTTCCTCTGGCAGAAATAATGCGCGGCAATTGGGACAAGAGGCGCATCCGCGGTGCAACGACTTCCGTAGAACTTTACGTGCACAAGTTGCGCAGAGCCAATGACCGCATGGCCACCAGATCATACGCCGACGGAAACGAGAGAGACATATGTAGCATTCGTCCACAGGGAGATCATCGTCGTCGTAGTCCAACTCCGAGTCGGACTCGGCAGAACTGCCGTACGGGTGCGAAGTCTCTTCTCTGCGCTGTAGTCGTCGTCGTCGCGCCTCAAAAAAACGTCTCAGAATCTCAATCCGCCCCTGCGCATACCGGCTGTGTGCTATCGCTTTCTCCGCCCAGTTTTCATCGGACATTGGGTACAACTCGTTCAGTATGGTCTCTTCCAACACCAGTGGCAAGCCATCCAGCTGCGTTCCTCCTTGGTCTTCCTGCCGGTGTTGCCTGCGGTGATTTTCATTCCTCGCCCATCGCAACCGCCGACTATCAAATGTGGCAACGAGGCAGAGGTGCAGAAGACTGGCGACAATAAAGAACGCACCCAATGCAATGAGAGCAAGGGTCAACGTTGTTACGGATTCCGCCATTGGGTGCAGGGGCCCAATTCGCACGAAGCCCGACAGGCGCTCATCTTCAGACCACCAGCACGGCAAGCGTATCGGGGAAGGAATGATGCAGAAATAGGTCGAACTAATCTTCTCCCAGATTCGCACTTCCCCCACCTTCGCACCGACGGAAAGGGTGATAGTGGGGGAAGTGCAGTTGATATACACGACAGTGCAAATACCGGGCAGATTAAAGGAGTGAACCAGATGCTGCTTTCGAAGGTATCCGACCTGGACTTGGTAGATGAGCGCCCCCACAATTATTGAGATTGCGGAAGAGACGCAGGAAACCACGGCTTGCCACAATAACCCAGCCATTATATCTTATTTTTGTCTTGAGTGAAAGAAGAAAAAAAAAACAAGAAACAGACACACACACGCACACAGGCAGACAGAGACGCACCCGTGTCGTGGAAAACACGCAGGACGAGAAAAACAAAGTGAAAGAGGAGAGGCAAATATGTGCTTGTGAAAAATGCCCCAAGCCACAGCAAAATCAAGGCATTCAAAACAACACCAACAAAAAAACAGGAGAATAAGGACAAGAGTTGTCTCACCGTATCCCATCTAGTTTATCACAGGGGAGTCCACAAAAAAAAAGAACAAAGACAGCAACGTCTCCTTTAACGTTGTCCCAGAGGCTTACCTGCGCAACTCTTCTCATCTTCGACCTCGCTGCACCCGCCAATCAAACCGCATGTGTCTTAGCCTCCTTCCATGTCTGCTACTAGACGCCTCGGGCTTCACCGGATGTGGCGTTTTTACACGATTAAAAATGGATTCCTCCGGCCTACCTACGTAGTACGGCTTTGTTGTCGTGCCACAGTTTTCGCACGACTCACCCTGATAGACGCGCTGCGTTGTTTTCGTTACCCACACATTTGAAGAACTCCACGTATTATGGCATGTCCGACAACGAAACAAACCCCGACGCCTAGCGAGTGGTGGGGGCGTAAACATGACATGGCGTGGTCGCATGGACAGCAAACACGTTAAAGCTAGCATGCGGGTGGACAGGAGGGAGTACTCGTAAGGAAGAATCAAGCCAACAAGGAAAACTTCCTCGTGATCACGGACCAGGTAAGACGAGATGCCGCTCAAGCAAAAAAAAAAGAAGTGGACCCTACTGAAACTTGTGTGGGCTGCAGGGCAAGAATAGGAAAGCGTAAGATATATCTATACACCCCGTTTATATATATATATAAACAAGGATGTGGTTTCAACTGCGGATTTGTCCCGTAGGAAAATGTGTGCATAGCCAGCTCAGAGAAATAACACCTGGATTTTTAGTTTATGCAGTTGCATGGTTTCATGCTTATTGCAAAAGCGTGGTGTGCTTCTTTGCGGCAAAAGTAGTAATGGTAGCAACAACAAGGCTTCCCGGTCTCCATAGACTTCTCCCCATCCAACCTTTCCTCCATCAGCCCTACTCCTCTGTACTTGCACACCCTCGTTTCTTTTCCACACCCAATCCATCCACCCACCCCATTCATTGCCTGCCCTCCGTCCCCTTTGCCCTTGGTTCAGGTAGAACTAAGTAAAACGAAGCGCCAAATCGACGCTCTCCTTTAACCATGAGAATTCTTGAATAAGAGCAATCTTCCGCATTGCCCGAAGCTGTGCCGCGATTGGCTTGCCTTTCCCCACGAGAGGGCCACAGCAACTTTGACTCATGTAGCTGGAGGCAACCTCGTTGCACTTACTGCACTTGAAGTCTTGTTGCACGTAGTTCATCACGAGGCCGTTCACACGTCGCACGAGGTGGGATTCCAGGGCGGCTACTGAAATTGGCGCATGACACCTGTCGCAGCGCAAGCGCTTCTTCTGCAGGCCCAGGTCAAGAAACACGTCAAGGTTGCAAAAACTGCACCTCACCATTAGCAACCGACATTCCGCGTCTACGTCGGGGACCAGCTGTGCCAACGGAGAAAAAGGACTTACCCCACAGAGACGCAAACAGTTGTTGCGCATCTTCCCCACAACCCCGTCATTGTGAAACAAATCAAGCAGACGGCAAATGGTTTTGGTGTACTCCAACGCGACGGCAATGCCTGAGGGAGGTGCAGTACCGCTTGGCATCTCATCTTCCTCGCACAAGTCTTTGCGTTCCATGAGTCCATGAACCTCGTCGATCAGCTCGCCGTGCAACTTGCCCTCAACTGCCGCTTTAAAGGCCTTTACTTCCCGTAGCAAAATTTGCTCGCTTTTGTTGGCAAGAACAACAGTGGGATCTGCCTGAATCTCCTGAAGCACCTTTTCACGGACTTCTGAAACAAGCCGCAGTGTGCTTTCCACGCGGCCAAGAAAGATACCCTTTACCTTCTTGGGCAGCTTGCCCCAGATGGTAAACGCCTGCTCAAATTTCATCGTTTCAAGCGACACTTGCTCCGTCTCCTTCAAACTGATAACATCGTCGCTAGAGACGTACAAGCATGCAAAATCCCGCTTGTCAGAAACCATAAATGGACACCAGTAACGAATGGGTTGAAGCGACAGCAGGAGTAGCATGGGTTGGTCCCGCAGGGAATCCACCATGTAACGCGCAAAACTGACTGCATCCTGAACGGTGTGCTTAGGGGTAAGCACAACGATTGAGTCCCCATCCACCTTGACGGTACGTCCACCAAGTTTCGCCAGACGAATGAGAACGATGGTGAGGGCGCGATGGGCAAGTTTGCTTACAAGTTCTAGTAACCGAGGTTCATAGCAGCAAGAGACGGGGTCACGAATCCAGCGTGCAAAGCTTGCAAGAAGGGCATCCGCCACAGGGTTCGTCCCCACTTGACCAAGGAGATCGGACACAAGATCCCGCAGGATATTGAAGTGTGTGGTGACACCGCGATCACAGAGGATGTGCACATTAGGGTCATCCCCTTCTTGGATCATCTGCGAGAATAGCACCGCAACCACATCCAGTCTGGCCAAACTAAACTCCACACACCATGAAAGGTACCCACCTGGCATGACAACCTGGCGAGGCGGCTCATCTACAGCTTCGTAGGCGATCGAGATATCATGCGAGTTCCACAACACATGAGACCGTGCATGCAGGGAGCGAGTAAACATCACATCCCACACATGCATACAAGTGTCCTGCGCAAGGTTGCAAAGGGGAATCCCAGCAAGTCGGCTAAACGCAATACACTCCTCTACCCAAAGGAGGGAAGCATAGTACCGCTGCACAAGTCGCCTCGCCAGCAAGCGCGTCCAACGAAAAGGATCTGCCAACAGCCGTTCGTCTTCCACGGAACCAAGTACGCGCAAATACGGTAGTGTCTGAGGAAGAGAGCGTTGCGTTAGAAGCTGCGGAGTGGACAAACTACTCTCAAGAACGGCAAACAGCGGGGGCCTTCCACTTTCCATCACCTCCATCAAGACCCTATGGATAAGCTTCCATGCGCTTCGAATATCTGAGGCAACTTCCGTCATGACTTCAAGCGGGATCATTGCCATATTCATTGCTTTTGCCGCCTCCAGAACGAGAGAACTCCAATTTATTGTTGGAATAGGGGCAGATGCAGGTTGAACAACGACCACCACAGCAGTTTTTGCGTGGTGATTGACCACGCCGAGCAAACCGCGGGTGTCAGAGGCCACGTGAAAGACAAACACATATCGGTCCATTGAATTCTGTAGGTAATTGCCGCTCACCGTACTGTCCAACTCTTCCATTGCAAACACGTCTCGCATGGAGAGGTGGAGCCGGGCACGGTGTAAATGAAGGTCCGCTATGACGTTTGCACAGCAGCCAATTTGCGCAACAAACGTCTCCGTCCGAGTAATGTGGCTTTCATAGACAGCTCGAACGTCCTCCCGCGAAGTTTGCAGCTCATTAAGCATCCGCTCCCCCTCAACTCCAGGTGAAAGCTCAATCTGTTGCAAATTTGTCGCCAGACGACCTCGCGGAAGCACCCGAGCATTGTTCAACCCCTTTGCAGCAGGAAACTGAAACTGTGCATCGGCGTCCACAATAACACGACGTGGGACGAAGCAGCGAAAGGTGTACAACGTCTTTTCAAGTGCGGCAATGACAGTCACAGTTCCCAGTTCCTCCTTGTCTGGTCGCACCTCCATGATGTGCCATGTCGCTGAGAGTGCCTTGGACTTGACGTCAATAAAGTGGTTGTTGACGGCTGTCCCATCACCAGGAAGGACATCAGTTGCATCGGCCACCATCTCGCGACGAAGCTTCGCACGGTGCGTCCAGGACTCCTTCTGACGCTGCAGCCACGTCGTAACACCAGGAGCCGTGAAAAATGCCGCATCCAGCGCGACAGTACTCTTTGGGGCAAAATACTTTGCACTGAGGGCGTTCACCGCCTCCTCCTCGCGTGCTTCTTCCTCTTGTCTCATACGATCGCCTTCGTCATCGGAGACGCTTTCTACATCTTCACCAGAGTCACTGTCAGCGACCTCGTTGTTTGCCTCTCTCTTCTTCGCTTCCGACGTTGTCGTAGAGGGTGCCGCCGCCTTTTCTCCTGGAACCACTTCCTCCAGATCTGGAATGGTGGTCTGATTTGCCTTCAGCTTTGCGAGCATCCCGGTTAGACTAAGCTGCCGAAATCTGGAATTTTGTTGCTCAAGTCGCCTATGCAGCCAATCTGGATGGGCTACCCGCGGGACTGGGTTAGGTACCTGCTGCAGTGCTGCGGGAATTGTGATAATCTTCTGCACGCAGGCGTTAAACCTGGCAATGTAGTAATCCCAGTCCAGCAGCTGACGGAGGTCGACGTCCGGCGAGAGTGAGTTGTCCCCCGTCCACTTACGCAGAAAGTGCAGGCGTAGTGTCGGGTCTGCACGAAAAATAGTGAGAGGAATCGGACGCTCCGTCACTGGACGACCGGCTGGGAGACGCGAAATAACAAATTGACACGCAAGTCCTTTATCCTTCACCATTTGTGGACCCAAAAACTCTGCTATCCGGCGCGCAGTGGTTAATGCCAACGACTTCTGCGAGTCCGGGTACTCGGCGAGACGACGTGTCATGTTGCTGCTCTCCGACAACTTTTCAAGAATTTCCTCCACTTCATAGCCCTCCCCCTTGGAGTACAGCATGTCGAGTGCCGCGTTGGCGACCACGGCGGCGGAGGCATACGAGTCTACAAGAGTGACGCCGTCAAGAAAGCGACGAAACACCTGGGACTGAAAGTCCTTAATAAGCATAAGCTCTCCACGCCGTTTCAGTTCAAACCCTTTCAATTCTGCAAGTCCACCATCTGGATTAAATACGGCGTAGCGCTTTTTAATGCTTTTGCCCTCTTCCCGACTTGCCGGTAACAACATGGCCAGGTAGGGTCCATCCACTTCAAAGTAAATGGAACACTCGCTGCGACGCTCATACACGCCAGTGGCGATGCATGTTTGGTATTGGTGGTTCGTGTAGTCGTCATGCACCATTTTGTTCAGAACAACGCATGGATAGGAGACGGTCACCTTTGACTTGACGGGATTGGACGTGGTGAAGGTAAAGTTCTCGGGAAACTCCTTGGGAAGGCAACACCATATACCATCCGTGTCAAGTTCAAGCGTCACGCCAATTTGTTCCACGAGGGCCCGAGCCATTTGAATGAGTGTGGCCCCAAGATATGTTACTATACCAGCCATTTCCATGCTGTACCAACGACTGCCCTTGCGCATGACGTAGCCGTAAAAGGAGTTCAAGATGCACTTATGCGCCAACTGAAGAGACTCCATCTGGACACAACGACTTTTGCACAGTTTCACCTCGTCTTTGTCCTTGGCCGAGTCCAGTCGTTTCTTCCAGGTTTTGAGAGCGGCTTTATACTCGTAGCGGCGGTCGCGAAACAAACGGACCGTATCCACGTAGAAGGAGTTCTCTCGCTGGCATACAACGTCGGTGCGCAAAATTTCACGCGACTCATGCATTTTGCCGTAGGCTTTCCGGCTATATTCAGCAAGACGCTTCTTCAGAAGACTAAACTGGGTGGTATCCTGCAGTTTATGAAAGGATTTCAATCCTCCTGCCGTCTCATTCTCGTCGTCCTCGTCCTCGTCGCCACTTTCATTTCCTTTTTTTCTCTCAAATTCTTTGGAGAGTAGCGCCCGCTGTGCCTCTCGCCGCTGGTTTTTGCTGTCTTGTCTGTATCCACCACCGTTGCCGCCGCCAAAGCCATCGCCTTGGCGTCTATAAAAAGGACGCTGCTTTCGCTCAAATGATGTTCCCTCCAAGACATTTCCTTTACGGTTACCGTAGTTTTTCTTTTGCACAGCGGAGAGATTCGCTTGCTGAATCACTGCGGCTGCAAACGACTCATTCTCTAACTGAGCCTTGATGCGTTGATATTCGTGACGACTAGCGGTAAGAAATTCCCCTTTCCATTTCCAAGTCATGGTTCGCTTGCATTGATGCTCGTTGCTGGATGAGTTGAAGCAGCACCCTGCACAGACGTCTGTTTTAGGAATGGCATACGGCTGCAGTCTATTTGTAAGGATAATGTTGGGATACATGGCGCCCACGTCAAGGTGGTAAATAATCGGTTCGGTGCGCTGTCGTGGGTTATCTCGCAAGGACTCCAACTTGGTTCTTATGGTCGTCCGCACCTCCGCGTAGTTGGTCACTTCCTCTACCTGGACACCGTTCTCCACCTCCAGCGCAAACTGCAGCGCATTGTCGAGATCGTCAATGAGCTTCTGGTACATGTCGGGGCTCATGCTGAAACTTAACGGGATATCACTACGAAAGACACCACTCCGGAGAGCCTCCACGCGTCCACCAATGTATGTTTCACTATCAATGAGATGTCCATTAAAAAACTTTTCCAACTGTTGTTCTTTTTTATTAGGAAATATGACATTGTTTGCGTAGGCCTGCACCATTAGCAGTGACTCACAAAGACCACCCGATCCCTTGCGTAGCACATCATCTGGTGACATGGGAATGATAGTAGAGAGAGAGTAAATAAAGGGGTGGACATACTTCAAATAAAGGTACCACGTGGACACCGCGTCAGAGACGGAGTACGACGCCATCTGTTGCGGGTTTGTTTGTGCCAACGGCAACATTTCCTCTGGATCCACTTCGATAGGGTCGTAGCCCAGCTTGTACTTTGTCACCGCCTTCAGCCCCTGGCTCCCCTGTGGAAGGTAACTGTCACGTTTCACCCAATAGAAGCAGTCAAGGTGGGGAATCTTCTGGTTGAGAAAGGCACCCTCCGCTCCTTGCGTGAAGCCAATCTCCTCCCGCATGTTTAGCTGATGAAAGACGGAGCGCGCATGAATAAAAGGAAAATCAAAGTAATCCCCATTGTACGTCACGTACACGTTTGGCTTGTATTTTCGCATCTCATCATAAAAGCGACGCAGCAGCGCCTTTTCGTTTGGCTCGTTAAATGTATCGAATATTCCTTCGTACTCCGGTTTGGGGGTGTACTCAAACGGATAAATGTCCATGGACACAATCTCGCGATTGATGATTAAGTATCCACGTCCGTCCAACATGTAGGAGATCATGTAAATTTGATCCACCTCCGGTTGTGGAAACTTCAGTGGGGCCTTTGTAGTTTCAATGTCAAAAGCGCAAACCCGCGGCATTGGCGGGGCATAAGCACTATCATCGCAGCGTGCCACTTTCGCCTCCCCCTCATGCACCGTGACATCGTACCAAAGGCCAACAAATACGCCCAAATCAATGGCCACCCGCATGTGATACTTCACGTCGTACTCCCTCACCTCGTGCACCCAGTCAAACCATCGCTCAGTCGACACGTTTGTATTTAATGGGTCATCCTCAAAGGATTTGGCCATCACCTCACGTAGTGAGCCGTCAAACGGGTTTAGTAGCGAGCTCGCGGCACCCATGGAGGCATTGCGCTTCACAATCTTTTCAAGTCGACCACGCACCACCGTTAGGTCTTGCACGTTGCAAAAACTGACCTTAAGATAGAGCCGTCTGCGGCCGCTTAAGTGGTTGACGAGGTCTAAATCCTCCTTCTCCAGCGTTTCAATGTGGTGAATCAGCTGGGGTCCAAAAAGAGACATGAGACCAAGCTCCACCTCGTGCTCATGCCCCTCCACCGCGGCGACAAAAATGTATGGGTCATAGAACAGATTAACCGAAAAAGGCTCACGGTCGTGATCCTGAAAAAGAAGGTGGAGGGCGGCCCGCCCAGCTGAACCACCCTGGCGCTCCACTGACGACTCGTCCGCTGCCAGCACCGTCGTTGGGTGGTAGTTGAACAACCAGCCGGTCTTGCTGCCGCTCTCCAGCCCCTTCCACTCCTCGGGTGCAACGGGCATGTGTCTTGTTCACCTGTCGATGAAAACGCGACAGAAGCAAAGAGAAGGACCGTAGCAAAGAGTCAAAGCAGAGTAGGGAGAACTATTGGTGACATGACCGGCAGACAAGACACAGGTGTGGGCGGGTGAGTGGAGGGGACGGCTTCCCATATTTCCGCAACCCGTACCTGCGCCGAAGCTAAGGCGGGGACGATGGAATTGACACACACACGTGCCGAAGCAAACGTTCATCAGTGAGGGCACCGAGGGCAATTCATGCGTTGGGATGCGTGCATGCAAAGGAAATAAGGAAAACGACAACAAGTAAGCCACGCAGAAACGTCTCCCCATTTCGACCCCATACCATTGAAAGGGGTAAGTAGAAAAAAAAAAGTCCACACTTCGACGTCTTTCCATCCTTAGCATTTAAATGCATTTGACCAATCTGTGAATGAGCTCATGAAAATATAACTAGATACCCTGGCGGAGCCGTGGATCACCTTATCGTTGCGTCTTGGTCTTTTATTTATTTATGGGAGGGAAGCTAAAGCACCCGAGAATTCTTCACTCATAGGGCCTTACATGAGTGCTCTTTTCTTGAGGGGGGAGTGTTGCAGCAATCTCACCGAGAGGCCTTGAGCCATTCGGCGGATCAGACAACCGACGTCCAGAACAGCCGAGCACAGCACAGATTTGTTTTAGGAAAGGACTGTATATTTATATATACATCTTGGGCAGGCCTTCTTCCTAACTGGCAACTCCGCAAGCTGCGGCAAGTAAGCCAAAACTTTTCTTCACTCAGGTGACCCCCAACAGTCACAGCTACTTGAGCTCCGCCCTTGCCAAATAGAATTGCAAGAAATCCTGGCGCCATGGCAGCGCACTAGCCGCTGCGAGTGCGCCGTGCGCCTCCGCGGGGTGCGGTGCCTTGTTGCGCCGGTGAGTGCGTGCCCGCCTGCCCACCGGTGCCTGCGGTGGCTTTGGGCCCGGCATCGCGGACTGCTGCGGCGCTGGTTTTTGCGCTGCTGCGCGTCCACTTTGCCGTTTTTTTTTCTTTTGGCTCTTTTGTTGCCCGGCCAGCTGGGCAGGGGAAACGGAGCCACTCGGTGAAACCCTAGCGGGTGTCTGTTTGGAGATGTCCGAGGCGAACCGCAGCCGCCCTGGAGGGGGCGCCGGCGCGGCGCTCCGGCCTTTGGGCTGGTTGCTGTTGTTGGCATAATATGGAGCGCGCCGTGGGGAGGTGCCGTGCGCAGATGGTCCGGGAGGAATAAAGTGAAATTTGCGCCCAACATCCGCACTCACCGAAGTGCGGCGATATAACACTGCTGGTAGCGAAGTGTAGCGGCGATGACGCGCCAGATGCACGGAGAGGTAGAGCTGTAAGGTGGCACACACACACACACACACCAGAGAAAGAACGGTTACGATGGAGGGAAATAATAATAATAGTTAATAAGAAGGGGCTGCTGATCTGCTCAACCTCGGCCTTAACGCGGACAACCCCCTGTTTTCCTCGTCTCCCCAACTCGCTTATTGCTTGCGGGAAAAGCCAATTCACTGTCCAGCCATCCTCACCACAAACGAACCAGCACGAGCGCCATAAACAACGCGGTCAAGCAAACACCGTAGAGAGCGATGGTGCCTTCCAGCGGTCGGCGCACAGAAACCAAACTGACCCAGAGCGCAGAAAACATCACAAGTTTCGAGCAAATTTGCAGTCCCCAGCAAACCCGAGGATGACAACGTGCAAAATCGCCCAAAAGGTAAGAAATTTGGGGCTTTTCATCGGGGTATTCCTTTAAATGCCTTCCATTGCGCGTGGGTCCCTCCACCTTCCCTGCCTTTGTTGCGGCTCCAGCCTCCATTGAGGCATTGTGCCGGAGCGAGAGATACAGTGTGCCGTACACGACAGCCAATGTGCCCTGAGCCACCATAAACGCCAAAATGTGCTCTGGAAGCGTTTTGTAGCGTCCCGCGTCCGTTAACACCACCGGTGGCACTATAATGTAATTCCGCACAACCAGCACTAGTCCCTCAACGTGCGCGGTCAAGTGCAGCAGCATGGTGAGCAAAAAGCATAACCACCGATATCTAGGTCCGTCGCAGGCAAAGGAATCACACGAGAGACACCACAACACAGCATATGCCAACAAACAGGCCACCGTTGTTGTGATTGATATGTGCAACCATGGGATAGTCATGTGCATGATCACGGGAATAGACCAAACCGCCACTAATCGCCAAGCAGGAACCGCAGACCGGAGGCGAAATTTTAAAAAAACGCGAAGCAGAAAAGAAAATGGCCACATGGAACAACACACAATAAACTCACAAATGATCATAGATATGGAAAAGCAAAATGCGCAGGCCATGTGCAGCATGTGGTCTATTTGGACATCACTGGGGGCCACACTTTGCATGCGTATCCAGGAGTACTTGCAGGCCCCATAGTGTGGAGGAAGCGCATAGAGGAAGATGAGCGTCAGTTTCTCTGTTATACCCATCATCGCGGTCAACTCCTCATCGCTGCGTATCGGAGGATCCTGGTTGAGACAGACGGTTAACGCAGACCGTGCCACGGTGTAACTGAGGTGCTCTAAAACCAGGACAACAACTAGCACCAAAAGAGTCGGATGCAGTTTTTGAATTCGAGGAAAGACCCAACGCGATGCCGCCTTCGATCCAACAAAGTAATTCACACCGAGGCAGCTGTACACAGTCAGAAAAAATAGAGCATAACAGCCTGCAAACTTGCCAGAGAGTGAGTGTGTTGATAACACCGCCATCAGTCGCATTGTCCACCGCCTAAACCACCATACCCAATATTCATATTCATCCCAGTGTGGTGTCTGACTTAGCTCCAAGTCTCCAAGGTGTATGGTTGGCTCTTCCTCCGCCGATATCACGTACACCGCGTAAACATTACTCAAGTTAAATGGCGTTGTAAAAAACGGACGCCAACTATAATGAAAGGTGTGTCTTTCTGCCTCATAGGGCCCGAAGAAGTACTGCTGTTGAGCTTCTGGCTCGTCTAGGGCCACTCCTTCCGTGCCCCGAAAAGCAATGCGAAAGGATCGGAATGAACCACACAGCACGTGGGGAAAGACAACCCTGTTATTTACACGAACAACCATGTCTGTCTCCAACGACATGCTGTCTATGTTGTGAATAAGGGCGAATCTGCCGTGCTTCTCCACAGAGAGCTGGTCGCTTCCCCTGAGTGAAACGGGATCATCCTGAGACGCAGTCGGAGCCGCCGCCGTCGAAGTCCTCCTCCTCCGAGCCAAGGGATCAATCTTGTCGTGCTGAACGAAGGAAAACTGCCTTGCAGACATCTTTCTACTGTCCACGAAGAAACAAAACCGTGGCCGCACCCACTCCGGTGACGTTCCACGACTTTTCTGAAGTACCTGAAAGCTGATAACCGTTTGTAAGACACTCTCAGGCTCGGCGACACTGTCATTCCGACGCATGGGAAGATGAAGCTTCGTTGCAGCACGCGAGGTAACCTCTGTAGGGAGAACCTCATCCATCGCTCCTACACGCAACAAACGTAGTTGCGGAGAATGAACCTCCTCCGGGGCGTAGGTTGTGGCACCAATAAAAATATGCAATGCCTCCCACGACTCTGTGTCATCATCTTCCTCCACTGGGATCTCCTGTAAATTCAATACTGCCCGACCCTCCACACAAATCTTCTTTATGTTATTTACGGCATGGGAATTATTTGCCATGTAGTACGTGACCTCATGCGTGCCTGCCCTCGTGGATTCGCCTAGGGAGGCCAGAAACAAAAACTCGGCTGCACGGTACGCATCGAGTGCGCGGGGAAGCGTCTCCACTACAGTGGGAAACAGTTCATCTCTCCCGGAGGCGTCAGCGGGCTCAGCATGCGGAAGCTCCCTCGGAAAGGAGGTCAAAGATGCCCGTATCAAACAATCTGCCGCCACATCCAAGAGTTGAAGAGAAAAGACAAGGCCCCGATGGCTAAGTGACACGCCGCAACCGCGCAACTCCTCTGTAGAGACATCCCGCCGTCGCGCGTGAATAGGAGCCAACCTCATCATTTTCTGGTGGTCTTCAGAAGATGCACGACGTCCCGTGGAGCGCAGCAAAAAGGAAGAGTGCGGCGGAATAATGTCATCCAATGCGCCCCCATTTATGGCAATCATGCGAACACGACTCACTCTGGCCGCCACGTCCTGCGCAGGAACCTCTCGCAAGTTCCAAAGGAGTTGAGCAGCATCGGTGGCACCAAGAATCTTGCCCCAGTCCTGTGTAGAGGTACGATTGTAGGCATGGGAGACAATTGCCGCGCCATGTACGACCCGGTGGTAGTCGACGCATCCGGTGTCAAAGAGCAATGGGGGATATCGTAACGGCGCCCCGGCCATGACGACGCCGGCGTACAACTGTGGATCTAGAACAGTGGCGAACACGGCCAATTGGCCTCCAACCGATTCAGTCCATATCCAAATACCTTCTTTTCGGACTCGCTCTACTTCTTGTCGTATGCGTTCAGTGGAAGAGAAGCGACGAATCTGGTCCTTCGCAACCGAGCACACTTCATTCGCCTCCTCCGTGTTGAGCTCGTGATGACTACACAAGCTGTCCAGGTATTCGGCCTCTGCATCGGTTACGGCACGTGGGACATACATGTCTCGCCCCTCGCTCCTCCGTAGAGAGCCTGAGGCATGCGAAAGCACCTCGCGGTAGTGATCCAAAAACCGATGTAGCAGCAAATGGACGCTGTAATTCAAAAACCGTGCCTCCTTCGTCATCAACAGGCCACTATGCGTATTCGACTCTTCCAAAAAATCCACAGCAAATAGTTCTGTGCCCAACAGGGGTGTCCTCTCCATCACTATTTCCTCCGCCCTCGCTTGAATTTCCCTGGAGATCTCTTCCCCGTCGTGAGGCATTTCCCCTCCCTCACGCATATACAGCTCAAACAGCGTGCGCTTCACGTCCTCTTGAAACCGGGCCAGACGTTGATAGCGCTGTTTCACATTCGCCTCAGCTATAACTCGCCCAAAGTATCGCATGTCCTCATAGCATCCACCATTGCCGTGAACGTAAACAATAGGCACCGCAGGAAAACCAGGACGTTGTGGGTGCTTATACCCATCCGCATGGAGGTCGTGATACCTCCACAGCTTGTAATACGCCTCAGTGGCAGGGTTTGTGCTCACCTCCACAAAATGCTCGGTCGTATTTGGCAGAATTGCCTGGAGGCTGGTGCGACGCTCCATGCAAGCCCAATCGTATGCGGCAGGGGTAAAGCTAAGGGTCAAAAAGAAGAAGAAGAAAAACACAAAGGCCCTGGCACATGTGAGCTTGGCGAAATATCCTGCCATTACCCCTTCTCCTTCCTTGTTTTACACGCAACTTTCTCTCACTTCGCTTCGTCCCCCTTATTCTTGTTGTTTCTAAGCTACGATACTCCTTGAGTGGGGTCCAGCGCAGAAAATATAACCTTGGATTCGCACGCCGGCGACAAAAAAAAAGGAATTCGTGTCTGCTACAAAACCAACGCACTCCCATTGCGCATGCATGTACGGATGCAGCCCCGTTATCACGAGTTTTTTTTTTTTCGTTGTTTCCCCCACTCTCCCAACTGACACCTGTCGGTCGCACTCGTAGCATTTTGACAGCAACCTTTCTACCTATCTCGTCTTTCAGGGAACAGGAGAACGCCACAACAAAGGAGCTGGGAATATATATATATATAAAGAACATGAATAACATCACTATGCCTTATACGCGTGATCAGAGACTGTCCCTTGAGCGACCTGAAGCTGACGCAATGTAGACTTTCCCCCCCGTCTTCTCCGCCTCCTCCTCAAGTATTTGCGTCTGACGCCACTTTAGAAAGATTAATGCCACCACAGTAATTATCTCCTCATCAACCATAAAGAACATAATCCACAGAGAAAACCAAATCACCCAATATCGCAACAAGGTATCCTTCACACGATCCCAAAATTCCAAGGGAGGTGCCGGTTTTTGAATCCGGCACTCCAACCTCAAATCCTTCTCAGCAACCTGCGTCTCAATGCCACCATCTTCGTAAAAGCTGGAAGTGGGCTCGGTGTTGGGGAATACGATAATCTTTTTCCAGAGTTTTCCAAGGTCTTCCTCCTTGGTTTCAAAATTGCCGTGTTGCTTTACGACAGGGATATTAAGTACACGATGAACGTCTGCCTCGGTTTTAATATCCTCCAGTGGGAGCCCCAGCACGAACCATTGCCTCCCTGCTGTTGGCGCAAAGCGCATCCGACCAAATAAACGCCGCTCTAAAAGAAGGAGATCGCCGAGCAACTTGTCCGACTCTGTGGTTGAGGTGCGACCTTCTTGAAGAGTCTTGTGAACGGTGCGGGTGATCGAGTTATCGCGACGGAGATCGAAGTTGTAGTGGTTCAACACAAACCGCGTGCTTTCCCCCTTAAGAAAACTCTTCTTTGCCGAGCGCTGGTAAAATCCTGCCGCCATGATTGCCTCATGTAACTGTAGCCGCTGAAAAGGGTCGGTGACAGGAGGCTTATAGAGCTCAGAGCGGTAAAACGTGATGCACTCCTCCAGAACGCGGTCCAACTCTCGCTGCTTGTGAAAATTCGACAGGTCCGCCATGAGATCAAACGCGGCCCCCAGCGGTGCCTTGCCGAGCAGCGGCTCAGCCTCCACCACCGCCTTTTTGGCCGTCTCAAGCTGCTCCCCACTGATGAGACGCGGCGCCTTCACACTATTCACAGGAACAAGCGCGGTAAATAAATGTACATGACGAAGACTTGTTCGATGCAACATTCCCCCCTTTTTTCCTTACCCTTTGAAACTGCCCCTCCCCCTACGACGG